TTGCGCTGAAAAGGGGTTCCGCCGAAAAGTAGTAGTTTGTTCGATGCACAAAATCAAAGTAAGCACAAACCGTTATCGTTGGCCTCACCAATTCCATGATGACCGAGTACCTAAGATCAGCTTTCAACATCAGCGCCTATCTGAGCATTTAGAGTACAGAGTAGTAACCGTCAAGTTATGGCGCGGAAGATGACTCATAACTGAGTGAAACGTGGGTCAAAGCGTCCTGTTCATCGTTCGCCCCATTCGTAGGTTCATAAGCAACCACCGTGCATGATGTTGAGGCATGTCATCAGGGGTCTTATGGGAATTACACCAAAATCAATTAGCTTTTGGTGACAAATGAAAAGAGAACAGCAATACCTGCTCATCACGATTATTCGCTACTGCTTAAATTCAACTTGGCCAGTTAGATGGGTTTCGGAATTTGCCAGTACCTCAAGTATGATCTTTACAGCAGTTCGGTAGGTGTCATCTACACACTGTTCATACAATCCAACAAGTGATTTTGAACTTGTTCTTGATAATATTCAGCTGCTACCGCTGAGAATGCTCGGTTCAAAATGGTTGTTCATGCTGCGGATGAGAACCTCTTATGGGACAGGACAAACGAGAGCTTAAGCTTAACTCCGGCATGACCGCACACGGTTACGCAAATCTCAATAGTAATAATAACAATGACAGTATCCCTAGAACACTGTAATTTCAACAGTACTCATACAGCAACAGTCTTCACTACGTTTAGCACCGTTAGTACTGGACAGGATTTGTAGTAATATCGCAATTAATGCCACCGTCTGATCTCATCCATGTGTCACGGAATCGACAAAGGTAAGGAGTGTATGCCAGTTTTAAACACATGCGCTACAGTAGCTGTGAATGAAAGACTAAAATAAATATTGAAAATAAAGACTAAAGAAACAACGGCAATCATGAGCATAAATATCTTCCCTTGTCTGGAAAACAAATGTGCCCAAAAGATATTCTATGTGAAACTACGGGTGTGTAGAATGTCGCTGCAGACTATCGTGATAATCACAATTTGCATTAACAGAATTTCTCTGGTTTGCATGTTCGCTGCATTTCCCCACGTTATAACACTCTTACGGTAACATCAACCACTGTACCGTATAAAAACATTCCTTACCAAAAGCAGATCTACGTCTGTTTTGATTGTCTACGATGTCTACTGGACTTGTGTGATGGTTTCCACATAAAATGCTCATGAAATGGAGTGCACGGCTTATACTCAACCAATCAGCATAACAACAAAACATAGCACAATAACTGGCCTCCCTCGCTTCTTTTGACTAATCTCCTTTCCTAATCTCTTGCTCTAGTGAAAATGAATCGATTAGACCATAGTCTGTGAACATCTTTTCGTCTTATGTGCTGACTGGTGATCGTCATGGGATGGTGTTCACTGTTTCAGTAGAATTAAGGCCCAGACCACGAGAAGGTTGTCATTATTTCCCCCTCTACCTTAAGAGAGCACTAAATACTCCTAGGTACTTTTTCCAAGGCGTCTAAATTAGAAAATGAGATAGCACTATGGAGTTACCGTTACTAGCGAAGGCAGCACTTACCGCGCCAGTATTATATAACTAGTGCCAATAAGAAGAGTACAACAACAGACAAAACCAGCTGTGGCTGGAAGCGGATGTAACAGAACTTATTATTACTTGTAATAATACTAGCAGGATCGCCTGCAGTGACAGTAATAATCCAGACAATAGCACTGTTAGTAGTATTAGTTCTTTTAAGAGTAATATTATTCGCGATGATAACAGTATACCAATAGCACTGGTAGTAGTGTTTATGTTGCTGTGTTCGGTGCTAATGCTACAAAAAATACTATTACCATAATAATGGCACTGGTGTACTAATTATAGCACTTTTTGTCCTAGTAGTTATTCTGACAAGAACAGCAGCTGGAATAGCAGTAGTATAACTACTGGCATTAATTACAGTACTGTATTCAATTGCAGCAACAGTATTCACGCTACATTAGAATTAAGAGTTATCGTGGTACTACAGGCTGCATTAATATTATTCAGAGAGTTAATATTACTCGCTATGCGTGCCACTGGTCACTGTACTACTATTATAACGGTTACAGTGCTGGAATACTGTAATGCTGCGTATAGTCAGGAGTCAGTAACGAGTAATTCTATTTTCACATCGCTAAATGGCATGCAAGCAAACTTTGACATAATATTATCAGCAGCCATCAGCTTTAAGCAACGATGAGTTACTACTCTCGGAGTCAGTCTAAGAACATTTTCAACTGGCTTGCGCAAACTTACGCCCTTCAACGACTGGCTTCCTGTTAACGAACGCGTAACTGTAACTGCTTACGTAAAACACGCACGGCGACGGGATAATCTTGTCGCCAAACGGAAAGCTGTCTGAAAACAAGGCTATGAATTTTGTGCGTGAATTAAAAATTTTACGCTGTACCTTGGGGCTGGATTGTTTCTGGCAACGAAGTCTCGCGACGAAGGACGTAAACGTCCCGACGACGGTGCTGTTCGACCGGTAGTCGTTTCCGGACGTCTTCGAGGAAATGCAGATCGACGTCAGCCGTGCAAATCTGTGGCCACGGCGACGGACTGCACTGCGCCACTACCGTTCCCCAAGGGTCGATGACCATCGCGTGACCGTATGAGCAGCGCTTCGCGTTGTGCTTGGCCGTCTGCGCCGCGGCGACGACGTAGCATTGGGTGTCGATCGCACGACCACGCAGAAGTACCTAAACCTCAAACATGATGTCGCGGTAGGATGCGAACTGGTTTTACGTCTACCTCCCAATGTGCCATGCCTGTGGCGACGGTGAACGCGGAAGGAAACGCCAATATTTCGGCACCAGAGCTTCTCAGAATGCCAGACAGTTCCGGAAACCGCAGATCGTAACACTAGTACAACTGTACAATAGCAGACATTGCGGCAATACTCACACACAAATCATGCTTGTTCAATATTTTTATGAAATAACTGTTCATGTTTCGCAGAAGTGAGAAGTTTCGAAACCTGATGTGACGTGAACCAAGCAAGTAATATAAAAGTCACCAATGAGGTAGACCAACAAGAGGTGGAACACACGGGCTTTGAACGTGGTGCTACAGACGACCGTTACAACTGAAAAGCCCTCACAAATACCGAATGAGACTCTGAACGTTCGTTTTTGAAGAACCTGGGACAGAAAATTACCATTACATATGTAGTCAGTCGTAAGGAAGAACGACAACTCTTGGAATATAATAAGAGTACAAGGCTGTATTGGTGAAACGTCAAAGCTAGAAGACGTAGGGAAATTAACAGGTCAAACATCAAATAATGCTCAAAGAATCGATGCGAAGCTGTCCAAAAAGTTGTCTGATTCCATCTGTCTGTTGAATCCTTTTGGAGAATTTGTTCTGATTTGTTAAGACAGCGATGCATACATACACTATTAAAATTTGTGTTAACTGTTCAGGGTCAATTTCGTGGGTGACTGCGACCTTTTGCCGGAGAACACGTTTTCAAAGTGGTGTCGATGATAACTTATTTCAAAAAAAGCTGCAACAAGGTCATGAGGTTATGACATGTCCCTCATTGATCGCCATCCCCCTTGCAGCCGATAGATTCGGTGATGCAGGGCTTTGCATACTTTTGTTTAGGAAATATTCTGATCCACCTCCGCTTGTTTATTCTTCGACCGTACCTTTCAGCCTTTTAACATAGTCCTTTTACCACAATCAAGTCATGAACCTGTTACCATTTTGCGTTAGTCTTTCAAATGGGGAGAATTAATTTAATCCTTTCATCTTGAGATGCAAGATCTGTACAAATTTTGCTTCGGTTGTAGAGCCCTTGCGCACTTCCTGACCCCGTACTGAACCATTCAAATAGTAAGCAAAAAGATTTATACAAAGACTCGGTTTTTTAAGACTTGCAAGGTCAGAGACATTCCGATGGAAGAAAAAAAGGGCCATTTCGTCTGCACTTGTTCAAGATGACTAGTACTAAATGGCAATTAATAAAGACCAAGCTTGTGAATAAGAATTAATATAGATATAACCTCGGACAGTGGACTTTTACTTATAAAAGTAAATGAATATCGGTGAGTTTCATTATATGTATGATATAGGCGGGAAAATCTGGCCCAATCTGGTCCCATCTAAACAGCAATTTGTCATGTATATTTTAAGTAAAAATTCTTCCATCATTATAAATTTTCTTAAAACTTAAATTTATTGCCACTGCCTAGCTCCACTGAGCGATACTTCCTCGTGAAAATATTTTTCTGTGAAAGTTTCACGGCACTTCAAATCAACCAATTAATAAAAGATCTTGTTGACCTGCAGCAAATGCCTCACAACACAGCAAAGACGCTGTTCCAAATTCAGGTTTTCTGCTTCCAAAGCTCAAATATGGCACAGGGTCGGGAACGCTGGAGATACGCACACTTTGTATCGCGATATTGCTCAATATAAGTCCAGCTTCGATATTCCCACCGCGGAGAAGGGAAAATGGAACAGGGATTAACGCAGCTTATGGCAGATTGAAGTTTGCTGGCGTATCCTCCTTAGCTGTGAAGTTTTGTAATGTACCAAGAAAAGGTCAGTAATAGGGCAATGGCTATCAGGGCTGAAAGTACCTCTTTATGTCTTAAATCTGTATAAGCGTAGGACGCTGCGAACTGCGACAGCAAACCAATTAGGAAGGACGAGGTAAATACCATCTATAAAATTCCTGAAAAGATATGATGAACACCATTGCATGGCACAGGATCAGGTAACGAAATAAATGAATATGCAACGGGGACTTGTATACCACGTGGCCTAAGTTGTGAAAGAGGATGAAACTGAACGGGAGCTAGACAGAGATTATAATAATAGCGAGTAGTCTAAGAGGCAATGGTACACACGTCTGTGTGACATGTAAAGACAAATGGCGAGTGATGTTGCCGAGATTTCAACCCGAGATCTTCTGACTGTTTTCAGCACCAATCAGTCGATTAGTAGGCAAGTAGAGTAGTCGTTTCTACGTAACCTGTATTTTTACTGATAATGGCTCTTGTGTACTTTGGACTTTAGACGCCCCGATCTGGCAGTTAAACTCAAAGTTCTTACTTGTACAGTTTTGTATACTTACTCTGCTTCAATTTATCGTTCCTTTGTCACATTTGTGTTAGTTTATTGTGTTTTTCTTTGTCGCAAAATGTGTGATACTGCATGCACTGATCATCAGCAGATTGCATTATTCCTTTAAACCTCTCTGAAAGAGACTCAATAAGACCACTTTGAAACCTTCCTCATAGACTGGTGTCAAAAACGGGAATCTTGCGTGATGCTCGACGTCGAAGAACGCACAGTCATTGTAGTCGCACGCTAAATGCAAAATGATAGTGCTATTTATTCGCTGTGGTTAACTGTGATAATTGTATATTTTTGTATATACTGAAAATGGATATCATTTATGACTTCATTCAAAAAGTAAACTTCTAAAATTTCAGCAACTGACTCAGACTTGCATAAAGAGGTCAAGGTACCCTTCATCGATTAAAACCTAAACTACTTACAGTTGTGATGCCTAGTTTTCCGATCGGAGTCACGACTGGTTCCACGATTCGTCTGCCGGGCACCACCCAATCACTTTCGCGCAGACGTACTTCGTCGCTAATATCCACGTCGAAGAGATGCAGCTTGTGGTACTTAGCCATCGTCTCTCCCTGGTCGTTAAGGACTATGTGTGTGTTATGTACGCGAGTCGGATCACCTTGGCACTAAATTCTTGCACTAAACAAATGATACATTTAAACAGAAACGAACACATTAAATACATTTAATACTGATTAAATTACAGGCAATTAAAGCAATGGTACCCAATTCGTAACATCCCCCCCCAAACATGCATTTCCGTGAGATCTCTTTACTTGAAAACAACATTAAGCAAAAGTTTGAGTAGTTCATTCTCGTACCGCAATGCCAAATGTAAGGAATAAGATATGGATTTTTAGTTCTAAACAACGGAAACAAATCATTATTTTAAACTGCTCATTCTATCGAGCAGAATTAGCTTACGGGCACGCTGATACAAATCCTGCTGAAAAAGTGAAACAGATCGACTACCTGTCGTGCGACTGGGATGATATGCAGTCAAGGCGAGGATATGCCAGAACTTAGGAAACTTGCAAATCAAATTAACGGTTCAGTTTTAATCATAATTAATGTTAATTAAAGTTTGAAAGCAGTAGGGTCGAGTTTAGTCATTCCACTGCATTTTATAACTACGGGTTTCAATCCCAAGACTGCGTAAATTTTCTTACTAACTGCTAATTCTCTTAAACAAGGAATTCATTCAACCATGCGTCGGTTCGAGTTTGCCGTTTGTATCTCACTGCTTGCAGACAACTTCGAAGCTAAGACTGAAACAGAGGCGTTCTAACCACGGTTTCCCGATTAACTCAAAGACGACGAACTGGATGAACATGGCAGAATAAAGACCTTGACACCGGGGCTGTGAAAAAAGTCAAGAACATCTGCATCTTTGGAAAATATTAGTTGCTG